GGATACCTGCGCATCTGGCGCGCTGGATTGTTGGTCCAAAAGTGTTTGGTGGTTTAGTAAATATCTGTTTTTTTCTTACAGGTTAGTTTTTTCTTACAGGTTAGGGAGCAAATTTAACGAAAGTTCATGCATCTGTTGCGTTTAATAATATATTATAGAAAACTTGTTGGTTTGCTGTCGTTCTATACATACATATATTGAGCTTTATAGACCAAAGGTTTGGGAGTCAAGCTAACATATGTGTTGATTCTGTTGGAATAATAATATATTATAGAAAGCTTGTTGCTTATGTTAAGAATAAGAGACTAAAGTTTATTTATTTTGCGAGGAATTTTAATAGGAAGCTGCATTACCCTCTTTATACCTATTTACATATTAAAGATAAAGCTTGAAGGAGATATATTTTTCTCCAGTTCCAGGTAAAACTACCGACTAAGAGATCAGTTGCTGATGAGATCTCGGTTAGTTTTAGTTACAATGAAGTTGTGCTGTAAGGTAAAGAAGGCAGCAGATGGCAGGCACGGACTTCATGCAGTTATCTCATCCAGTGATCGCGTGAACACATCACACGCAAATTACGCAGCAGATGTGTACGGTAACTAAACCTTCACTCAAACAATGACTGGGTCACATCGTCTAAATAGTGACACATTTCTTGCGGATAGAACAGATGCGCTTTTTCTAGTTTGGTCAGGATGGCCAAAACGAAGGGAAAAAGTGTGCCGAAATTTGGACTAAATCTTACCCATTTCTATGAGTGTTCAAAGAATACAAATTTTGTTGTCGTTCAGAAGCCCAATGTGAGTGTGTAATCTCTTAAGTATTCATTCAAATATATTCCGAATATACATCATTGATATTGTGAATGCAGAAGCATTATTGTGATTACAACGTTCCTCGTACGATGCCAACAGCAAACATCACATCCAAATCAACGTTCATCGCATCTTTTCCCTCTATGGAGTTTTTTTCAAGAATTATATTAAAGACTAAAGTTGGTTCCCAATTCCGCTGTCACCTTAATTATCGCAAAACATTAATTGAAATATTTACTTATACAAGCAATAATTATTATACCATGAATATTTTCTTGATGGTCAGATCTCAATATATACATACATTCTATTCAATGATAAAAGTTGCTTTCACAAATGCGTAAGCTTGGATTATTCCCATTAATCTTTAGTCAATATAAAAAGCCGTTCAAATCTTGCATGAGCATATGCTAAATGAGCACAGCCGCTAAATGATCATTCACGCCGCTTCACGATATCAAAATGCTCTACGTACGTAAAGAAATGCCCATCATACACACTATTACTTTATTAGATTCCATTCAATAATTCTATTCCACTCGATTTCAACTTGTGTCATCGAGCTAGACCCTTGAGTTCTAGAGTGCTAATGCGCATTCTTTATTGAGATAAGTTAGAGTTTTTGTGATCAAGTTTTTGTGATAGAGTTGCTGCAACAAACCAAGAACACGATCGCGCCGTCGCAGATAAATCCCGACGCAGTTTAGATGCGAGAATTTAGGACCCGTCGCACATGTGGCATAGCAATGCAAGGAGGAAGGGGGAGCTTCGGTGACGAACTTAGAAAATGCGACCCAGAAAAAGCACTTTGAAAAGTCGCCTTAAGTTATAAAACGAAACCCAAAAATGATACCCTCATTTATAAAATGGAACCCAATGCAGGATTCTAAACATCACCCCAACTTGCCAAACGGACCCAAAAATCTGAACACAAAATCTTAAAAAGGGACACCAAAACCACAGAAATAACGGAAAATACAAATACCTCGAACTTTGGCAATCCAGAATTAAACAAAGAAAAACCATGAGATTCCCTGATATAAAATAACCGAGATTGTCTGCCTTTTTTAGTGTATTATAGCACTCGGAAAGCGTGCGTTGAGTTAAATATTTAGGATCTAGTTAATCATTAAGTTTTTCCATCCACATAATGTGCTTGTGAATGCTATCTTTAGCTGTTGCATCATATATCGTCTACTGCTCGGACTTTCGTGTGTCTCCCTAGCATCCGCGTTGCAATACGCGCAGAAGCAATGAAAGACTAATGATAATGTTTGAAGTTGTCTACTGATATTAAAATTGCAAGCACAAAGCAATAGTATGAGTAATGCCATGGTTATATAATAATTAGTGCAGAGAAACAAGCATGCAACCAAGGAGCTTGGATGCTCTAAATTATTGTGACATAAGTAAAGGAATAGTGTGATTAATTGGTAAGTAAAACGAGTATTATACCGCAGGAACAATAAGCGAACGTTAACTTATCAGTAATAGAAATGTGGTTAATTGAGCAAGTCAATTAATTGAGCGTGGTATATATATTTCAGATCGACGAACTTGAATTGCGTGGAACATTTTTGAACCTCAGTCAACAACTCTGTGCACCAAAATCAACTCGCCTAAAATTATTATCAACTAAATGAGTATGAAACCGATATGTTTACCCTAAATTGAGTCGTGATAACTATTTCCATTGTAAAGAAGAAAAATATTAACATGTTAAAATTGTGTATAAATTTTTATTGGATGATTCATCTTATTGAAAATAACCCTGTCACAATACCATAATGATATAGATTATATTTCAAATTATTAGTATTTTTATAGTTTTTTCAAATTATATTATTAAATGTTAATTAAATAAATTACTTAAGTAAATATTTTTATTAATAATATTTACATATATTATCATTTCTATACACATCTATACAAATATTTGTATAAACATATATCCTTGGCAGTATTACACAAGCCTTGATCAACAGCTGCGGTTTATAACTGCAGGTAATTGACCAAGTAAAAGAATAAATTCGATCACGATGGCCCTTTTCTTATCCTAGAAAAGTTCATCGTGCACTAATTGCGGCAGATATTTTACGCCGTACTTGCGGCCGGGGAAACAGACTTTTACTTGAGGTGAAATTTACGGCAGGAATGAATGACACTCTAAGTTTTCCGAAGCCTTTTTCGTGCTACAGAAGATATTTACTTTGTTGTGAAAATGACAACTGCATTATAGTGGAAGCGATAGAGTAAGGGTGCAGCACTCAAATTTCAGTACATTTTTAATTTAAATTTCGATTAAATTCGAACATTTAAAATTTCCAGTAAAGTAGTGTATTATTTTGTTATTTAATATACAAGGAAACAAATTTTGTATGAGTAAAAACAAAATTTCAAAATTGACTTCTTTGATAAGTTGCATGAACTTTGGATTGGAAATTGCGTTTATTGTTATTTTCTTCTGGCTGCAGCTGGAGCGCGTATAAATGAATCTTCATTCAATTTTTTAGGCCAAGCGTAGTTAAGCAAACCTAAATTTTATTCCCGTGAAAAGTTTAGTCTTTTTGACTTCAGGATTATGTTTCTACTTTCGCAACCGAACAATTACCGTTCTGGAATGGATGTTAGAATGTTTTTGTAAGACTCAGTAAAAATAATGAAGTTTTTTTAGTAAGTTTATAACAGCACAGGTCCTCCAACTACTGAGATGTGATGGAAGGATGCAATCAAAATTATTCATCTCAATCACATACATAACTTTAATCCAATAAATGTATTAATCGTCAGCGCGAGTAAGAACTTAATTTCATTTAGTTACGCGTGAAAATATTCGTCTTCTAATGATATACTAAAGCTGTAATTTTAATTACTTCAGAATAACTTTGGTTTTCGGCGTGTAAATAATGCATACTCGTATAACTAAATCTACCCGCTAAGCATTCGTTTGTGTGAATAACTGCCGAGAAACGTCGCAACTTGAGCGAGACCTCCTATTGTTAGCAATTAACTCTCGGTCTGTTTCATTAGGATTAGAAACAGAGCTGCGCGAGTAGATCCTTTGAGGTAGATCATGGCGGTCACTTGCTCCCATGTCTCTGAAGGAATTACTTAAAGGCAACTGATTAATTAAATAGCAATATTAAGAAATTCAATAATAATTTTTCCATAAATTTATCGCGGGAAAAACTACTCCGTCAAGGAAAGGAAGCATTCGTTGAAAACCTGATAGGCATGCCGACGTGCGCACTAGTGTTTTTCACGGTAATGTGATATTATCTGAAGGAAGTAAGAATCACTTGAAAGTAATAGAGTAATTAAAAAGTGATCTTAGATGATTAAACGATAGAACAATTTTTCTTTGATTTTATGCAGGGAAACAATGATTCACGAAGGAAAGATTCGTGGAAAATTTAGGGACACACGTATCACAACGTGTGTCCCTTATATATATATATTTTTGGTAATGTGGTAATAGCAATTATCCATTGTTACCGTTTCACTTTTCAAGAAATTAATTAAAAAAATGGTACTTGGCAACGATGTTCTAACCGCTTCTCGTAATTGCTTTCTGGCAACAACTGACTCGGACGTGAGAGATTCTGAGTTTCAGAGCAGACAGGCAGAACTGGCAGATGAAGATTCAGTTGCTCTGTGGCTCTCATCGTGTGAGGGTGTGCGACATTGGTCGGCGGAACCAAGCCTTCTCTCCACATAGCCTGTCAGCTCAGTGAGATACAGTGTTGAAAAATAAATTTCGGAGCACAGAAGTTCAATGTGTGAATACCACATACCTTATTAAAATTTAACAGCATTTTTATTTTCTTGAATATGGAAAAATATGCATACCCTAGGCCTAGGTGAAAACAAATTTTATGATAGCCTAGAATTGAATTGATAACTCCCGACTTACTGTTGAAATTCACATCTCTATCCTGCTGCTGTTCCTATATTTCCGTGACATTTGTTTTTATAGTATTAGTTTTTTCATGACGGTCAAGATTTGTAACAGAATCTTTCAACAAATTCTTATTCTAGGATACTAGGAGTAGGAACTATGTAAAAGGTTCAACTTGCAGTATATTTGAAGTTGTAGCAACTAGCAAGGTCTTCCCTCTGAAGTGTACCAAACCCGACAATTTGACGAAACTTCCGACGTTTAGAAGATGCAACTGGTAATGATGAAAATTATTTCTGTAATGAGTGAAAATCTCAATTTCAGATTCTTTTATAGTCAATCAATTTAAATTGACGCAGAATTGGTAGCACATCTGTTGAAGGTGTTCAACATCATCGATTAATGTCCAGAATCTCTACATTGTCGAGCTCACCGAATGTTTTTTATTTTGTATTGCAGAATGAAATGTCAGTTGTATAGAGAATTTGTAATCTTCGCAATAAAGTTTAGCAAGTAGCAACTGACCAGTAAAACGAGTGGAAAGAATTAATGCTGGCTCAGCAGTGAAGTGAAGCAAGGTTTTATGAACGCTGCTGAACTATCTTACTGAATTACAAATAAAAATATGTCAGCAAAGTGCTTGAGAAACTGGAGTGGTAGTTACAGAGCATGACGGTTTGATGTTCGTGCATGTTGGAAAAACATACTATGCACTGGTAAGTACATACTTTTAACATTTCCCCAGCCTAGTGAATAATTTTTTAATATGAGATTTCGAGCTCCATTATAAGTATTCACTTCGTAGTTATATCGAAGTTAATTCAACTCCAAATGCGTATACTTAAATGCCCCATACCGTACTTTAATTTCACCCCCCAGACCAGGTGTCTGTGCAACTACCTATTAATAGTACTCAATGTTTCGTTATCTTACAATATTCTCATTATAAACCATAATACGAACAGTGTAAAAAACTAATTTTAAGAATAATTTTTGTAAGAATATTATTTCCGAAACTAATTTTTTATCGATTAAGATGCTGTTTAGATTATGAACGTGTCTATGAAGATTTCTGTACAAGTGTGTTGGTGTTAAATTTCAACATTTCCGTTCGGTGTAGTACTTGGCATAATAAAATTCTCTGTTATTAATTTACATTTTTGCGCCCAATTATCCCAAGTGACCGGACAGGCATGTATAATTATATCAGATAAAGCCTTGAGTGGGTCTGATGTCAGTTCGGGCCATAATGTACTTAATTAGGTTCACAAATTGTTCGATGTAATTATAATACTCGGTGAAAATGTTCACTTATTGCTAATACGGAAGCAAATCTCAATTCCTCAAGAACTGATAATTTCATGGGGGCATAGGAATAGCTCGGGAGAAGTCTTTGAATTATAATAATGGAAAAGTTGGAATCTCAAATTGTGAATTGTCAGTTTAACACGAATTTAACTTTACCTAGAGAAATTGTCATATTGTCTCCATGAGCTTATTTACGTTCGTTTGATATAGAAGGCAATCCAAATGACAACATTTTGCAAAGCCTCAAATGTTCACAATCTTAAATGCTCTTCCTTAATTTTGCCGATCTTGTGTATGAAAATCCATCCCATCTGTTGCTGTTATCTGGAAATTTGCGATTGACTTGGTTAGGAAAAACCCACATGAATGAGCCCTGTTAAGTCGTATTTTGCCCTTGTCGCTTGCTGGAAATCAGTCAAGTTTACCCCGGTAGGCGCGGCTTTGTTCGCCACGTCGATCTCTACAAACGACGAGGGGCGAACAGAAACTGAGGGGACAATTTAAATCAATTTAAGGCCATTTCAAATGAATAGTACATTTTTTTATTCGAAGCTGACCACGCGTTTCGCCTTCGTAAGTGCTTTAATACTTTCTCTTCACGCACCTAAAAACCCAAAAATCAGCGGGTTACTATGCGTCATTCCGTACATGAAGTTTTACCTGAAAATGATTTGTGTGTCGACTTCGGCCCGTGAATTACACAGAGAACCTCGCCCAGCACTATTCCCAGGCGTCGCACAACTTGGTTAGACGCATTCGCTTGTAACCTTTTCTGCGCGCGTCAGAATTGTAACGCGTGTTATTGCTGCCCAGCACGCGAGCTTGGCGCCGCTCTTCTCGACCTGGCGGTGCAATTCCAGACTTGGCGAGAAATGGTATCACCTTCAGCGATATCCTGTGTCTGCTTTTGTTTTCAATGAGCTTCTTTTGTTCTCAATGAGCTTCTTTTGTTTTACTCTTTTATTTCTGGATACTTTAACTATCCTCAATGCTATTCGTACCCGAAGTTAGTTACCATTGTCAATGCTATTCTACTCAACATTAGTTGACAAAGGGTTATATTCGTGAAGCTGTTTAATAATTTTTTATTAATTTGATTCGGTAATACATTCACGGTTTTTAATTGGCCTGAATCTGAAGTAAGAAAACCAATCTATTTAACTTAATGCATCGAATGCTTGCAATCAAGAAGAATGTACCCACTAGGCAAGTAATGTTGAAAAACGCATAATCGACGCAAATTCAACATCACAACGTCAATTCTACGTTTATTCAACGTCATAACATATATTCTACGTTTATTCAGCGTCAGATGCATAGTGGGTAGTATAAACTGTTTACCATATGCCATAATCGTTTCAATGAAATTGCATTTATTTTATTGTGTCGCTGTCAAATGACTCAATAAGTGCATACATATATATATATATATACCTGATATATATTATTATACCTGATGACATTTAAATTTAATTGATCAGGACTGTCGCTCGGTCGAGTATTACCTCTTACTAACCAATGGTTATGTCTAAAGCCATGCTTGAAGTTCCTCGCTTGATAGGAAAGTATTAAATGTAAGGGATTTAATTTGCTCCTAGCCACTTTGTACGAACGCTGCAATCTTGCCAGAGCCTCAGCAAATCCCTCTGATGTCCGGCCACAGACGCTTTGGCCTTTGATGCGTACGTTCCCAGTCACATTGCAGCTACGATCATACTCCATGTATGAGTTAGTCGTGTCGTTACATAATTCTAGTTTATTTTTATAAGCATTTTACAGGTTAGAAACCATCTTTAACGATTCTCTTAGAGGTATTCTGCTTCTGAAGAGATGGGGGCAAACGGTATTTATTATTGTATAACATTTTTAGAGCGACAAAATATTAAAGTCGTACAATTTGAACGCTACGCCTGTATGAACCGAATTAGCATCAAATTTTACTGCCACCTTACTCTATGTATTTAGAAATTTACAGCAATTATTCTCTTGCAAATTCGGCTGTGGCAATTATTCAACAGACACATTGAGGGGTTAAGAGCCATGACTCCTGATCTTTCTTATTCAATCACCGCAAGAGTTGAGGTTGAGTCTTTCGATACTTGTGAAAAGTTACCTCTCTACTGAACATTCAACGTCACATTTTTTTATATTTATCAATAATTTTATATCCTTTAATACTTTCGAAGTCAGAGATGGATAGTTGCAATAGCCTCTTTATTTCCACCATTTCGTTGTACGCCGACGAAGGACATACGCGCACCGTGGCCACTGGCCATCCATCTTTGCTATGGTTTCGGGACTTCGCTCCTTCCCGCCTAATTTTTTATCAGTATTTTTTATCTCTCTGTTGAGAGTGTGGCTGAGCATTCGCTGAACCATTTCCTCGTGCGCTGCACTTCTTGGGACTCGTTACTCCTTAGGATATAATAACCACTTAGAAAATCTATTTGTGAAATGTCGTCTGACTGTGATGATATCGAGTTGATTATCGGATCTTAACTTCATGTACATTGTACAGTTAATCATTAATTTAGAGATTCCCTGTGTGATTGGCTGAGATCCTGTCTGTTTACCAGGCAATATTTGAGAACTTTGATTTAGAATTTTTTTATTTCGAATGAAGGTAAAATGTGTAGTGCGCGTGTACTTATGTTTGGAGCGCGTTGAAACTAAAACCAGCATTTATTTATAAATTACATCTTTTCCTGCGACCATATGTTGGCCAGCCGCAAACCAACAGTGAATTTACATCGGCTAATATTGCGAGATAATATGACAAATTATTTCGGTAGTTGGTGTTTATAATTATGTGAATATTCCGTCAACGTGTGAATTTCTTTTCATCGTAATTAATGTATTTTTTTCGTGGGGTGAGGATTTTATAAGCAAATATTTTCCAATCCTATGATAACCCCTAGGTATCAATTTACCATTTATAAATGTAGTGATTTTTTTCGTTGAAGAAAGTAACTCAAATGTTTTAAAAATTTGTTGCGACTTGACTTTTACCGCGTCTTATTTAAATTATTCTAAAATTTCAATTAAAGTTTACTATGGATCCGTTCAGGCTTCAGAATTCCCTTAGGGACCAACGTTTCGAAATTTCTTCTTTTCTTTCCGCGGATAATTGCGATACAAAATTTTATTTCAGCTTAACATGACCGAAATTTGAAGAAACATCGCAATATGAAGGATTCAAACGAAACTAAACTAGCATAAAATTTCGCCATCGTGTTTGCACTTCGTTTTGGTTGTAAAATCTGCAGAATATTTTATGTTCGGAGTTGAATTACTTCGAGCGCTATCGCTCAGTATGATAACTGAAACCAGTGAGCTCTAAAGCTTGCAGATGTCGGTAATTTTCTGTCGCTAATTTTCTGTCGGTAAATTTCTGTAAATTTTTTTGGCAGTTCTTCTAGCAGCTGTCAGTCCTCCAGCTCCAGTGATTAATTTCTTATCAAACTTCTGCTCAGAAGTTTGATGTCTGATTTTTCAAGTGCGTTTAATTATCTTGGAAGCTTCCAATTTGAATTTCCTGCCTTGCCTCTTGCTGTAGAGCTAATAGTAAGTTGATGCTATACGAGTTCTCCATTACCTGCAAAGTTTCTCTGGCAGTCAAATCTGAGGCAAACTTGAGATGTATTCCTCGTATTCTGAAGATTAAAGCTAATTAATTTCTCAGATTATTTTCCCCAAGAATTTGCTGTGAAATTGTGGAAGTTCTTCTTGTTCTAAACTCCCAGAATTGAAATATTCTCGAATTATTTAAAGCTCGGTAGCAAAAATTGATGCTACGGGGGATATCCTGTTCTTGCTAAGTCTGTCACGATGAATATTTAGAGAAGATTGTAATTTTATTGTTAATAATTTCTTATTTATTATTTGATCCATACCCAATATGGCATTTCACCCTATTTTATTTGAAGCCATTTCGGCGGCAGACCTGTAATCTATTCCTCACATTTCTACGATAGGAGGTCCATGTCTGCGCCTGACGTGCGATAAGCGGCCTTTTATGAAAGAATAGCCCCGCCATCTGACACTTTGGAGATTCTCTCGAGTGTGCAATTGATGTTTAGCTCCTAGGGATTGAGTCCGTTGAGTACCACTATCTTATACGCACGGAGTAGACTATGTAGAAGTAGACTATACGTATATACTGAATTGAACCTGTGCCTGTATGCGTTAGCAAATAATATGAATGCAGTTAACTTGACGTATATCGTATCGTTAATCGTGGATTACCCCATGCAAACTAAAATTGACATTTTAATTTGCTATTGATTTGCGCTCAGTGACATTTCCTCTGTCTTGAATGGTGCTCTTAATTTTCTGGATAGCGCGAATAAATGTCGAGAATCCGTAAGGTGGTTGTTCATTTCTCTAAAGAGTTTGTTTCTGCGCTCGT